ATATTCATCATGCCAAGTAGTTCTTTCACCCGCGCTCCAACAAGTGACTTCGTGCATAGATCTCCCAACATGTATTGTCCCGGCACATGATAAATTCGAAACTTCGCAAGTTCAAGTTGTTCCAAAAACCAAGAAGCCTTCAATCTCAAATGCCTTGTTCTCCATGCGCCTTGCGGAAGTGTCAGAACTGTACATGCTCCAACGTTGTCGTTGTAGAGAAAGGCCTTTTGGGGAGCTTCGGCGAGTTCTTCAAGTAGCCCATAAAGCCCTTCTGCCAGCGTCATCCCATCCAATGATGCCTGTAGTTCTGCCTCAGCCGTGCTGAGGCTGGCGCACGGTTGCCTCATCGACATCCAACCAACAGGAGCATTTCGCCACAACATGATGATTCCACTTTGGCTCCGGTCTGTCCCTGGGCAAAAACTAGCATCAGCAAAAACCTCAACGAGATTAAAATCTCGCTGCTCTGGCAACTGCTCTCCTGGTCCATGCCCCTTTCCAGAGCTTCCATACACAATCTCTTGTGTCTTGGTGGTTCTCAAATATCGAATCATATCTTCACCTCGCTGAATCGCTTGATCAACGTCCTTCGTGATAAGTTGTCCAATCCTGCTCACCCCAAAAGCTAGATCAACCCTGGTCCTCGTCGCTAACCAAAGCATCTCCCCAACCAAAGCCTGAGCTCTACGAAGTTTCTCCAAAGATGCATTCGGCTTGGTCTCGATGATCTCGTTCTCCTTTGCATACGGACACATTGTTGTACCTTGAATCTCAGGATACTTATCCAACAAAGATTGAACATACTTGCTCTGTCCAACATGCAGGCCGTCGCTCTTCTGCTGAATCTCAAAGCCGCAAAAGGTAACCGACTTGCCTAAGTCTGCATACTCAGGCTCGCTGATCCTCCACTTCGCCTTGATGGCTGTCCAGATTGCTTCCGAAGCTTCCGTTGTACCAGAAAGCAAAAGATCATCGACGTAGATTGATAGTACAGCCAGGAGTTCAAAGGTCTCGGAGCAGCGAAGGAGCCACATGTTTGGCTCAAACTTGGATCTTTCAAGATGATGGAGCTTGCCTTGATGCCATACCTCTATCGTCGGCAACGTTTCGTCGCGATACGATGCCCAGTCTGCTGGACTCTCTTGCATTCCGTACAATGCGCCAGTGATCTCCCAAAATTCCCCTTCAGCCGCAAACCCAGCTTGCTTCAAGACCGCTGGAGGCTTGAGGAATGTCCGTTTGGTTTTCTCTCTCAACGGTGCAAGTAGAAATGCAGTTC